TAGTACATTATGAGTACATTAAAAACAGCAAGAAAGATAAAACCTCACAAGGAACTTCTGTAGCCATGCATGGCTGCAGGAGACATTAGCATTCTCTCTTAGGCCAGGATAGAAGGAATTTGTGTTTTTCAAACATATCAAACATAGCGATTCATACCTATCATGCCAGCCTGTGAGCTGGCAGTGGCAGGAGGTTCATGAGTTCAAGGCCAACCTGAGCCTACATAGTGAGGCCCTTTTCAAAACCAAAAGAAAATAAAAATAAAAATGCATAAAACATGACCAAGAAAGGCGTTGGCCCTACTAAGGAGCCTCTACTTGAAATGACATGATAAAGCTAAAAGTAAACGTGAAACTATAACTACCATACAACAATCATATGCACCTAGGTGGGAAAAAAAGCAAGTGAATGTGAAAACCCTTCACGTTTCCCATCCCTTGTGAGGGTGTGAAAACCCGTGCAATGAGCTGTTCCGTCCTTCTCCAGCGTGCCTTTGGGGGAAAAGAGATGGAGAAGGAATGGTGTTTCTCACAATGGAGATCAGCATGGGGGAAGGAGGGAGGTGACCAGATTAACTAAACTGGAGCTTTATTTTTGGTCGGTAGTGGGTCTTGAACTCTGGACCTGGGCTCTGTCCCTCAGCATTTCAGCTCAAGGCTAGCGCTCTACCACTTGAGCCACAGTGCCACTTCCAGTTTTCTAGTGCTTAATTGGAAATAAGAGTCTCATGGACTTTCTTGCTTGGGCTGGCTTTGAACCACGATCCTTAGATCTCACCCTCCTGAGTAGTTAGGATTACAGGCATGAGCCACCAGTGCCGTACTAAACCAGAGCTTTACAGTCCCAGCAACACTTGGGAGAGATGGGTCCTTTGCTGTGGGACTGTCCTGCATGCTGCCCATATTTAGAAATATCCCACACCCATCTCTACCTATGAGGGACCATGATAGCCAAAACATGTCTCCTGCATTGCCAAGTGCCAGAGGCTGAGGGTCAGGAAATACTTCTGCTTGGGAACCATGCAGGAAAACCTCAGTTTCTACTGCCTGGAAATGAAGCACCTGTGCCAGGTGCTTGTGGCCCATCAGAATTTAGCCTCGCTAGCTTTCAAAGTGTGTTAACAGTACAGGTGAAAAATATCCATAGAGATTCGAGGGGATCAGTTGTTTGTTTTGTTTTGTTTTGTCAAGGTCCTACCATATAGCCTAGGCTAGCCTTGAATGCATGATCCTCTGGCCTCAGTCTCCTGAGTCCTGAGATTGCAGGCATGCACCACTACCACAAAGGCAAAGGGAAGCATGGGAAGCTGCATGTTACCTATGCACTGCCTTCCTGATGTGGCACCTTCTGTTCTGCTGACCCTAGAGGAGAACCAGCAGGAGCCTCCGAGAGAATGATCATTTCTCTTTGACATCCAGGGTGTAGCTCCCAGGTGTATGAGTAATGCTGCCACCTGAAGCTTCTCTAAGTCTCCAGAGAGAGAGAGAGAGAGAGAGAGAGCGCTGCAGGAAATTACAGTATATTGCAGGCTGCTTAGGCTGGCAAAAAGGAAAATCCTCTTCTTCAAAATAAAAGGGCTGGCAATTTTGCAATGCGCAGTTGACTTCACATAGCTTTCTTTGCAAAGAAACTTTTGCATGTGCTTCAAGGGGGGTGGGGCAGGGAGATCTGTTTTATCTCTATGTCTCCTCCATTATAAGGGGGAAGCACACTTAGGATGCTGATTTCTCCACGCTGTTCATCTGTGTGAACCCACCACACACTATCAGTTCCTGGAGTGTTTGCTGCCCTCTCACCCTTCATCCTCGAACCCCAGACCTCTGCTTCTGCCAAAGAGGAGAGCCCTTTGGATAAGAGCCATCCATGTGCAGGTTGTTGGAGATGTGAGGTGAACTGTCTTGCATGTTTTTCTGAGTGCTTGGGAAAGCTTGAATCTAGGGAGGGAGACCGGGCTCCTAAAAGCCTTATGGGAACTTGAAAGAAAACAGCTAACATTCCCCCAATTTTTTGTATCCCCATCAAACAGAAAGGGACAGGAAAAAACAGGTCTACATAACATGTAGAATTTCTTTTAATGTTTTACTTACGCTTTTTATCTGACTTCAAGAAATAGAAACAGTTTCTGATGTTGGTAGTTATAGAGATTGGCTTTGCGAATAGCCATGTTCAACATCTCTTGGGAGGATCTCATAGTTATCTTCTTCTGGCCCTATGTAGAAGGTTTTAATAGTGTCCCTGAGACTTTGTCATTATTGTCACTGAGACTTTGCTGATTTAAAAATTGTACTCAAGGATTTGGGAGTGATAAGGCATGTCTGTAATCCCTACTGTTTGAGAGACGGCTGGTCCAAGCAAAAAACTTGAGACCTTACCTGAAAAACTAAAAGCCAAAGGACTAGACACATGACTCAAGTGATAGAGTACCTGCCTAAAAAATGTCATCAATCCCCTAAATTGCACCCCCCCCCAAATAGTATTTGAGGGCCCATGGGTCCTGAGGAGCAAAGACTTGAAATCATGAGTGTCTCTCTGGGGAGATTGACCTTCTCGCCTCCATCTCCTACCTCCCGGCCTCTCCAGTTTGGGAGCAAGTTGGAATCCTCCCAAGTCCCCTGAACACTCAGCTTGCTGACCTCTGCCCCAGCTTCACCGTTTCTGATTCTGGAGTATCCTGAGCGTTTGATGCTCTAGTTCCCAAGAGCTGCTGATCTGCTGGCCCGGGACCCACGTTCTCTAAAGCCCATTACGCTACATGGCATTTTCTATGGAGCACTACAAGCACTGGCTCTGGAATTGTCCTGTGGATGACCGAAGTTAGAACTGACCACTCACATTACAACCAAACACCTTCGGTTCCTGCCAAGGTGTTTCTTGAGCATCTCTGCTCAGAGGATGGCACCAGGAGACACCAGTAATTGGCCTGTTGGAGGTGTTATTCTGGTATTCCCTTGGCTGCCTGACACTTCCGGGAATGCTATCATTAAAAACCATCTATGTACCACCACGGTTTGTTCTTCCTAACAGCCATTTTTTTTTTTAATTCAGTAATTTTCCATCAACATGATGGCATTTCTTTTTCAAACCATCCTTGATACATTTTCCTTTGATGCAGTAAAACTTTGTGTATTTAGATTCTATGTAAATGCCACAACTCTATCTTGGAAAATACCATCCAAATGCTAATACTAAAGGTGCATGCAGAGTAGATTTACTGAGAAGAAACATTGACAAAACTTGTGTCTGGAAAACTAATCCAGCAAGAACTCTTAAGGAAATTTTTTTTTGGTGCCACCTATTCTTGGCAACAATCTTTTTTTTTTTAGTTGTAAAAGAAACGTCATTTAGGTATTCCGATTACCGTCCCGTTAAAAAACAACAGGCACTTTGAGAACAGATTGTGTGTCCTTCACCCTTTGAATCATGATGTTTCCCCTGAATTCATATTCTAAAGGCACATTTGAAACCTGATTTACTTGTTGCTCTTCCGTCCTGCAGTCTCTCAAGCTACTTGGAAAGAGAAAGGCTTTGGTACTTTTCCTGTCTGCTACTAATAGCAAAGATAACAACATGGTGCAAAGCCAACAGTCAAATCCCCACCGTTGTTCTAGAAATGGATTCAGGTGTGAAACCAATCATAAAATCCAGACCATTTTCTAGAGATGGATTCAGGAGAAGCTCTTTATCCTGAAATCCCTGCTATGCTTTTCCTATGAGAAATGGCATTGGATTGCACAGAACTGAAAAATGCTAAGAAGGAAAGTGGGGGGGGGGGGGAGACTCCAGGCTCCTTTCCAAATGCCTTAGACAACATCAATGCCTGAGGTGGGACTTGAAACACCCCTGAGTTACTTGGAATAGCTCCTTGCCCTCCCCCAGCCCACAGCCCAATCCTCCCACCCCCCACCCCCGTTGTTGGTGGTGGTATTGTGTTTTGTTGATGTGTTGTGTTTGGGGGGGGGGGTACTGATACTGGGGCTTGGACTCAGGGTCTGGGGTGCCATCCCTGAGCTTTTTCAATAAAGTCTGGCACTCTACCACTTGAGCCATACCCCAACTTGGCAGCTGTATTTGCTAGTTCATTGGAGATTAAGATTCTCCTGGACTTTGCTGCCTGGACTGGCTTTGAACCAAGATCCTCAGATCTCAGCTTTCTGAGGAGCTACACTTAGGGTTTTCAAGGACAGGGAGCTACCTGCCTATGTGTTCCTGTCATGACAGCTGATGGAAGCCAGGCATATCTAGAAGCTGGAAGTTTCAGTCACGAACCAGAGTCTCTAATGAGCACCTTGGAGCTGTCTGCTCCTGATTTGTAGCAGCGGTGGAGGAGGGAAGGGCCGGGTCTTCTCCGGACATCCTCAGGAGACCCTTAAGTTAGGAGTCGGCAGGCAGGTTCGGCGGCGCTGCGCACTGTTGCTTTGAGCCTGGCAGTGTCTTTAGCAGAACCAAGGAAACAACGTGCACCGCCGCTCCCCGGGGAGGGACGTCCTAAGGGATGTTTCCGAGGATTTTTTCCTCCTCCTTCTTCTCCTTTTGCATCTGTGGCATCCCCCAGAGATGTTTTATACCAATGTGGCCCGAGAAAGATGGCAAGCAAAGACTCTGCAGGGTAAAATTAGGGGCTGCCTAAGCGGCTAAGGAGTGTGTGTGTGTGTGTGTGTGTGTGCGCGCGCGCGTACGTGTGCACGCATGCGGGACGTGCAAGCCAAGTGCACTGAAATGCAGCTCCTGTCTTCTGCCTGCAAGGAGTTGCTTGGTCCCCCCCCCCGCGCCCCCCCTCGCGTCCTCCCTCCCCTCTCCGAGGAGCGCGGATCTCTGGGGGTGGGAGGGGGCGGAGCCCGTGCCGTCCTGGGCTTGCTGGACCCCGGGCGGGCGGGGTGGACCCGGGCTCCGGTGCCAGGCGCGGCGGTTGGCTGGCGGCCGCCCAATCCCGGGCCATGCCGCCCGCGCCCGGCCAGCGCGCACGCTGAAAGCCGAGTTCCGAGGCAGCGGCCGGCGGCGGCGGCGGCGTTGTCCAGGGTCGGGGAGAGGATCGCGGGTGTGGGGTTGCCCCGGGAGATCGTGGCTGCAGCTGTGATCGCCTGAGGGGGGGGGGACCCCCACACACGCGCGCGCACACACGCACACCCCACCCCAGGCTGGGAGGGAAGGAGGCGGCATGGCCTCGGTGTTCATGTGCGGCGTGGAGGACCTGGTGTTCAGCGGCAGCCGCTTCGTGTGGAACTTGACCGTGTCCACGCTGCGGAGATGGTACACCGAGAGGCTGCGGGCGTGCCACCAGGTGCTGCGGACGTGGTGCGGGCTGCGGGACGTGTACCAGGTGAGCGGGGCGCGGCCCCAGCCCTCCCCCGGCCCCGGCGGGATTCGTGGGAAGCCGGCTCCACCTGTAGGATTGCACGGCTCGCTCCCCTCCCCCATCGCCACTGCAACTCCGAGCAGGTGTCTGCGCTCTGGGGGAGGGGAGGGGGGCTGCCGGGCTCCGCAGCGCCCGGGGCTGGTGGGACAAAACGCCTGCAGCTGGGCCTAGGGACGGGATGGGGGGGAGGCGGGGGGGTTCCTAGTCACCCCCTACCCCCAGCCCGCGCAGATCTCCCCTTCCCAGTGAGGATGGGGTGCTGAGGGGGCGCCCAGCTCTCGCAGACCTCCCCTTCCCAGTGAGGATGGGGTCCGAGGGGGGCGCCTGGAGCTGCGGGGTAGAGGACCTGCTGCAGAAAGTGCCTTTGGCCCTGGGAGATGGGCTGCTTCCTTTCGCGCCTCAGCGCCGTGGGGGTGGCAGTGGGGAGGGGAAAGGGTTCACCCCCGCCGGCTGTCAGAGCAGAGCGCACTGGAGGCGCGCTCTTCCTTTTCGGGTTATTTCAGTTTTCCATCAGGTAAGCCCCCAACTTGCAAAGGTAGAGCCAGGAACATCTGATGAGGTCTCAGCTGGGGCTTGGAAGGAAGGAAAGCAAATGGTGAACACTTCCTAGGAGGCTGATGGGAAGGGAAGGGTGGCTTGGCTGTGCACCTGAGTGCTTACCTTTCCATTTACTCTCGTAAGCACAGCACAACCTTTCTCTGCTGGGTCCCACACTGCAGGCCAAACAGTGCGGCCACTTCCCTCAGCTAGGTGACCCCTAGCCCCCTCTGGGGCTGCAGCTTGCCTGGGTGTTTTCTTATACAGAACTTTATCGATTTAAAAGTACTATGCTAGCAGGGTGCTGCTGGTGGCTCACACCTGTAACCCTAGCTACTCAGGAGGCTGAGATCTGAGGATCAAGGTTTGAAGCCAGCTCAGGCAGGAAAGCCTGTGAGACTCCTATCTCCCATTAACCACCACCAAAAAACAAAAATAAAAAATAAAAGCCAGACGTCAAGTTATAGCTCAAGTGGTGGTGTGCTAGGCTTGAGTGGAAGAAGTTGAGAGATAATGCCCAGGCCCTGAGTTCAACCCCAACACACACACACACACACACACACACACACACACACACACACACACACACAATATTGTGCTTTGGTTCAACATCTTTGAGAGGTTTTTAATTGCACTGTTAAACTAGGAAAATTATACTTGGGTTCATGGAAATACTCTATTACTGTCTTTCTTGTGATACAGAATAGCTTTGTTGGAAGTTCCTAGGTTCCCCTACACCCTAAGCTCATTCCTCACATGGTAGAATGTATATGTCATTATATTGTGACCCACAATAATCACACACACACTTGGTTGTTTTTTGTTTTGTTTTGTTTCATCAATCAAGCAAAATGAGAAGTCTCCAGCACCTAAGGTTGGACTATCAGAAGTCTAAAGTATCCGTGTCCTCTTGTCACCCTTGTTAAACTATAACATTTTAACTTCTGCTTTTAGACAGTTCCTGCTTTGTATAACACATCTGCCATATAGTGCATTTTTGAAATGGAATCTAAAAGCCACGTTGTGAGCAGCAGCGCGCGCGTGGGGGAGGGGAGAGCATTAGGGCAGTGTGGACGCATCCCATCTGGCTACAAGTCACAGCTTCTCTGGTTTTTAGGACCCAGAGATGAGTTAGCCTTTCAAGCCTTTCTCTGTTGATTAGTCGCCACTTAGTTTGGTTTATAGGGGAAAAGTATGATGTATAATTTTGCTTTTCCTTCTTAACATTGGAGAAACTTTCAAAAGGAGAACACAAATATCATAGCCAACCAGACCAGTTGTGGGCTTCACCCCACCCCCAGCAGAGATTCAGGGGATTTGTGGCTTATCTCTAATGTTGTTAGTGGCCAATTCAGAGATGAAGGTTCTGGAAAACTGAGGGAGGTTCTGTGAGTCCATCATAAGATTGATGAATAATTGTTTTAAACACAGCAATAAGTTGAAGGCATCAACTACCAGATACCTATTCTCTTCTGTCAAATGGATGGTAACTGAGTCATTCCCTCTCACTGCCATCAGAATGAACATCTAACATTATGCCTCGCTTGGGCACTGAGTCATAAAGAGAAGAAAAGGGATCTCAAAAAATTGGAGAAATCTTTTAAAAAAATTTAGCCATAGAAGAACAACGATAATCTCAATTGTATAACATATTTGCAAAAAATGGGATTTTTTAGTTTACTTTTACTTTGTTGTTCATGTGCTGGGGGTGCGATGCAGGGTCTTGCATGGTCTGGGCCATCACTCAACCACAGAGCTATATACATCCCCAGCCCCCAAAAATCATTTAAAAAAACTCATACTTTTAAGTACTGAGTAAGGGAGTAGTAGCTTCAGTTATATAAAACTAAAAAGACAGTAAATGAATGTGATTTATGGGCAAGTGAGTGAATCCAGCCTTTTCCTCTGTATGACCGTGGGGAAATTAATCTTTTACTATGCTTCTCTTTCATCATTTATAAAGTGGGGAATATAATCATAGTAATCACAGAGGTTATGAGGATTAATTGGCACGTAAAATAATTAGCACACAACTTGGATCTTAGAAAGTATTCAATTAATGTTTTTATCAATTTGGTCATCTAGGATGGTTTTTAATTGGGATAGGGAATGCAACTCAAAAGTAACCCACAGAATAAAAAAATAAATGTGACCTTTGACACAATGTACAAGTGTAGCAGTAGATGGATTTTAAGTATGGTTTGATCAGGGCATGTTTATTTCCTATCATTCTTTCAGCCCTATTCTTTTGTGTTTTTTTGGGGGGTCCGGTCTTGGGGCCTGAACTCAGCTCTCTGGGCGCTGTCCCTCAGCTCTTCAGCTCAAGGCTAGCGCTCTACCACTTGAGCCACAGCGCCATTTCCAGCTTTTTTCTTTTTGCTTATGTGGTGCTAAGGAATCGAACCCAGGGCTCAGGCATGCAAGGCAAGCGCTCTACCACTGAGCCACCTTCCCATCCTCTCAGCCCTATTCTTATTTGTTGGCTATACCCTTGCCTGGTGTTATCTCTCATATATACAATAGCTCTATATATTATCTATGTAGAAAGCAAAAGAATTCATGTTTACCAACCATGAAAAAAACTTCCTAGATATACTTTCAGTGAATAATTAAAATTCTATTTTAGGGTCTATGCATTGCATTGTAATTATTCTCTATGGAAAAGATAAGGTCTGAAAGGAGTGAAAATTGATTTGGGGGGAGAGAGAGCAAAGCCCCCACAACTTCCTCCTTAGTTAAGGAGGAAGGGCAAGAAGGCTAGGTATAAAAGGCAGCTAAGCCAGGCTTAGCTCATGCCTGGAATCCTTTCTTCTTAGGGCACTGAGATGTGAGAATCTGAGAGTCTGAGGGTCTGAGATCTGAGAGTTCAAAGCCAGCCAGATCAGGAAAGTCTATGAGACTCTCATGTCCACTTAACCCCCAAACAGCTAGAAGTAGAGCTGTGGCACAAGTGGTAGAGAACCAACTATCAGAGGGAACAGTCTGCTGTCCCGCACATATGATGATCTGGAAGAACACACGAGACAGTTACATATTTTAATGAGTCCAGTCTTTTATCATCTTGATAAATTTTCAAAGGTGTCGTTTTTCTTGATTCAGAATAGTCTTGGTTGTAAGGAAAACCACAGCTCCATCACTCTGGAGAGAAACCAAGGCCGGGCAGGAGATATTGATTACACTCAATCCCCGGCAGGCCCTTGGGGGTGTTTTGTTTGTTCATATACAGTAAGTGAAACAAGATCTCCTGCCTATTCACAAGGTGTTTGGCGTGTTGGCGGCCTGGCTAGCAAAGCTGGGAAGGCCTCATTTCTTTGGAATTGAACACTTCCTCCCCCTCCTAGATATTGGAACAGCAAATGATTTCAAGTGCCAACAAACCACACATAATTAAGGTACTTGCTATAAGGTATTTTCTGTAGCAAAGCAGGCAAATGCTGTATTGGGGTTGCCTTTGACAAAAACTTAATTTATAAGTAACGAATTCAGTCCGGTAGCTGACATGAGAAACCCATTTGTAAGTGAGGCTGAATCCTAAACACTGATTTGTCCACCATGTGCCTATCCTGTGTTATATCTTTTCTGGGCAGGCTGCATTATAGCAATTCATTGGGTTTAATACACAAAGGAGGCAGAAAATGATGGGGAAATGATGTTGCCAAAAGATCAATATTTGAGGGGTTTTTTATTAAGTTCTAATAAAGCCCTCAGTTTGTTACCTGGGGTTTGGTTTTCTTTTCCCCAGTGTCTGAGAGGTAGAATTACTTGTAAACCCTGAATAGAGGCATTGCTTCCAGCAGGAGGCAACTTGAACAGAATCTGGAATGCTTAAGGGACCCAAAGAGTCTGGGTCAGCTCCCCTGGGGCAGCAGCTGGCACCAAGGGTAGGGCACACATTGCAGGTCTCAGGTAGAGGAGAGTCTGAAGGCTCTGCCCCAAAGAACTTGACCTTGAGCAAGCCACTACCCTTTTCTGCTCCTCGATTTTCTTCTGCATAGGGGAGGAAAGCAGTAACAGCTGCATTATGGGATAGAGTGAGGGATTCATGAGACAATACAGGCAACACTTGACACCTTGTGAGCACAAAGCAAATAAGTGCTCAGTAAACGTTAGTTCTTGGTTATGGAAAGTCCTCGACACTGAGCTCAGAGGAGGTGTGTGGTAATGGTACCTAAGAGTATCATTATTGTTTGTTTGTTTTGGTCTGTGCTGGGGCTTGAACTTGAGGCCTGGACTCTATCCCTAAGTTCTTTCACTCACGGCTAGTGCTCTACCACTTCAAGCCACAGTGCCACTTCCAGTTTTCTGGTTGTTAATTGGAAATAAGTGTCTGATGGAATTTCCTGGCCCAGCTGGCTGCAAATCACCATCCTCAGATCTCTGCCTCCTGGGTAGCTAGGATTACAGCCGTGAGCCACCGGCACATGACT